CGGAAAAATAATTGAGAAGGGGGCCTCGAGAATCGGAATCGAAAGTGACAATCGCCGATGGCAAGTGGAGAGATTATCGCGGAATTAAATTAGAGATAAACAAGAGTAAGGACACACTGTAGTTTAAAGCTTCTTGGTACAATAAATAAGTCGAAAGGTGTATGAATAAAATGTTTTTAAATAAAAGAAAGTAACTCACTTTCCGAGTGAATCACTCGCCAAAACAATCATTTGTTTTCGAGAGCGATGAATGATTGATTAATAGATACCTCAATCAGGCAATCATTAAATAAATGCGCCAAGCAATTTCCATCATTTTTCCCCAGCTTGAGGTTCTGAGATGCATCTGCATCTTTCACCCTTTTGCTCCTGCTCCAGGGGATATATACCACATATTTAAATATACATATATATATATGAGATATATGTATGTGCCCAGCCATTGTGACACTAGCTGCGTAAAAATCATGTTAAATAAATGAAATTGTCATACTCGATGGGTTTGATGGGGCAGCTGAAAGCGAAAAATGAAGACGAAGATGCAGACTCAGACACCCAGATGAAGATGATGGTGATGGTGATGGCGATGGTGATGATGATGGGATGGGGACTTGGGATGGGGTCTTGAGATAGGATGGGATGGGCTGCAGTTGGATTGGAGATGGGTTGCCAATGGAGTGGATGCTGCAGGCTGCAGCCTGACAATGACGTTGACGTTGTCGCCCTGATGACTTTCAATGAGTCAACTCCAGGTTCCCCCTATCCCCCTTCTCCCCCCGGTCCACCCATGTAATTCTGGGGCCAAAGAACCCCCCCCCCACCACACTACCCCTTGTGGGTTCCGAGAAAAGTCCCCCATTCCCCATCGCAAAGTCTTTTTTTGAGCAGTAATTATTACCCGGCATTATCAGCTTCTCTCTTGCAGACCGACTGATAAAAATAAAGTAATCTTGCAGTCTTCGAAATTGTCACCAACTTAAGTTTTTTTGGAAGTTCAATACACTTAAATCGAGTATGGCTACTCGGCAATTGAATTTGCTCAAAACTAAATTACATGTTTAAATTTATGGTGCAATTTATAGAGCTTTTAGAGGATATGTAATACATAGAAAGGGTTCTAAGAAAAGTACATTGTTATACACTTTTTTACCAGGGGATAAGTAATGTTGATTTTATTTTAAGTGTCTTTAAAGTTCCTATATATATATAATAATAAAACAAAACCAAACTAAAATAAAAACTAGAAAGAAAGGGACAGAGTATCGCAAGTTTCGGTCTTTAAGCCAGCCTTTCTTTTCTTGTTTTTTCCCCCATTTCATTGAATCGCTTCATGCTCGAAATTTATTGTTATTATTAGGAGAGCAATCGTTCCGATTGATAGGGGAATTTTGGGGGAAACTCTCGGTTGTTTCCATCAAAAACATATACATTTTCGTTTTTTTTCTTTTCGACCGGGGCTCTGAGTAAAAATTTATGTGAAAATTCATAATTGGATTATGGCAACTCGGAGCTCTTGGTTAGCGGTCGTCGCCTTTGAGGGGGTCCCCATTTTCCATTTTCTCCGCCGACAAGTGACAATGAACTTGAAAATGGAAAATGTGGAAAAGCGCTCGAGGGGCAGCATGACTTTGTCTTGTGGTTTTCGAATTTTCATCGCTTTTTTTCCATTCCATTTTGCCCAGTGCTCAATTAAGTTTTTCTCCGATTAGCAGGGGATTTATTAGCCGAGTGACGACTTTATTTTCAAGTCTAGCCAGGTAGATGGTTCTATTTGGCTTCGTTTGGGGGTAAAGAAGGGTTTTTTCTCTCATTTCTATGATTTAAAAAGACTTCTTCATAAATTGTACTTAACAATTAAATTGTATTTATGGTTACGATTTCTTTTATGACTCATATGCTTAAAATAAATCAAAATAAATCCCAAAACATTTCTCATAATTTTTATGTGTTCAACATATGGAAAACCCAAGAGAAGATCAAGGGTAGAATTCGTTTAGTGATTGACCTAACAGCTGAATTTTATGCTTGGGTATTCTATGAGTTCTATTCATGAAAAGAAATCACTTAAAATCCCACTATTCAGTTGCATTTCAGCACACCGTTGGCAGGATTCCAACCTGTTTGCTGACCTGTCAGAACCCTGTTTATAAATCGAAGCCCATCATCGATTACACCCCACTCTTTGGTTTTACAGATGAAATATGCATGTATTTAAATGCGTTACAATAAATTTTTGATTTATTTGCGACGCCATTGACTGAATTTTAAATGACAGCGATTTATTTCAGATTTATACATAACTGAAAAGCGATGACAAAAAAAATTAAAGCATCTGCCAGTATTTTTTTTGGGGGAGCTGTGAAAAGGGTTTTGATTTTCCGTATTTTTTGGCATAGATGGGGCAGTTTTTATAGCACACTACCGATATATGTATATATATATAGTCTTATCTTTGTCCATCAGTTTTTATGATGAAAAATCGGTTAGCATTTTTCACATGTTGAGCGAACTTTTATTTTCATTAGATTTAATTCGTGTCACTTATATTCTTTTGCATTGCTAGTAAAGCCTAGATTTTTTAACCGCTATATTCCCCTTTTATTCTAGCGATTACAAAAATCGACTGAAAAAATCCATAAAAGCTGATATATTTTTTCAAAAAGGTTAAGTTTGCTACCAACTTAATTAAGCATCGCCGACGAACAACACCTAAGTGCAGCTTTTACTTTTGGCCTGGGAAACTTCGTGTACTTTGCGCAAGTTTCAATGAAAACAACAAATTAACTGAGACAAAAAGCGGGGAGGGGGTTTTCCCCTCGGAAAACACAAATTATCAAAGCAAAAGGTGCTTGAAAAAAAAAGACTTGAAGAGTAACTGGGGCCTGGTAATTATGCCGTCTTACTTCTGTTTTTGCCTTTTGTTTTTCTTACCTCTTTCGGTTTCAATTTCACATGATAAAGCTTAGAGATTTACTTCGGAGGGGGCCTATAAAGATTATAAGTACAAAAAGGGAGTTACTTCAGAAATGCTCATAAATTGTTGGTATTTATTGGCAAAGATATAAAATTTTGACTATAAATAGTTATTACACAGATATTGCATATTAATATTGAACTGCCCTATAGAAATCCTATTAAACGATCATTTATTATCAATACCAATAATTAGTTATGCCTTTAGATATTATAATAAAACAAAGCGAGATAAATTCACAACTTAGGTAGAGAATCCCGTTGTTGGAATGGGAACTAAAGACACCGACCCCCACATATGGCCACTCCCCCCTCCAGCCGCCCCCACACACAGAGAAATCCTAAGTGCTTTGTCTAAATATACGATTGCCAGCCGAAGCCGCGCTTGTCTGACGCATAAATCCCGGAAAATCTCAGACTATATAGTTTATAACACTCGACCGACTCACTCCCTTGAACTAAAAATAACTGCAAATTGTCTAGAATTTACGGAGCACGGGAAATGAGGAAAAAAGGGAAACCGAGAAAATTTCCAACTTGCCTGTTGAGTAATTCTCCGAAAGATCGTCTCCGCCTGGGAATTGGTTTTCCCTGTTTGAAGAGCCCTAAAGACGTCTAATGAGCATCATTAGGTCGTCTGTATCTTTGTATCTTTGTATCTTGTATCTCGGTGTGTGTGTGTGTGTATGCGCCGAAGAGGATTTGTTTATAATGAAGTCGAAAAGGCAGCGACGTGACTGAAAAGGATAGTTGAAGTGCGAAAGAGAGAAGGGAAAGGTTCAGGATGCTTGTTTTTTCGGCTAACAAATTCTAATCGATCACTGAGTTTTTGACTTGGATGAACAAATATTTACAACCCCATATACCTGAATTTACACAAGTTTTATACAACTATTAAATACCATCCTTCTCCGGCAACCACAAAGAAAATCTTTATTTTGTATTTTCAGTAACATATTTTTTTAATTACCTATTTTTAAGCCCTTGCATAGGGTATTATAATTTTAGTCAAATGTTTGCAACGCAGTGAAGGAGACATTTGCGACCCTATAAAGTATATATATTCTTGATCAGCATCACCAGGAGAGTCGATCTAGCCATGTCCGTCTGTCCGTCCTTTTCTACGCAAACTGGTCCCTAGCTTGCCGAAACTGCTTAATTTCTTGTGTAATTTATTTTTGATTAGCGAATAACTGCACCTTTTTTGTATAAGGTATAAGGTCGGAAATGTATGGCATTGCAAACTTCTGACCTATATTATAATATAACCTAGGTATAAAAGGCGAACACTTATCGCACTCGTTTCGTACTTTATAGCTATCTGCTAATCTCAAACCGCAGAATGATCTTCAGATGCTACTGAAAGTGCTTATCGGTGCGCAAGTATGTTTGTAGACACCGTCTCTCGATATTCGAATTGATTTCGGGAATCACATTCAACATCAGAGCAGAAGTGCAATCGTTGCCTTGACTTTGCCCCTTGGGTAGCAACCACCTCCAATGTGCGGATTCAAGAATAATATTGTCTTCAGGCTGGAAAGTACCCTTATCCAGATCATTTTCCCAAATTCCCTTACATACACATCAAATTGACTTAATATAAACTTTTTAAATAAGCAATTAATTAATAATGGTAGACGGCATCCGAATAAAAAGTAAAGCGAAAACTTGCATAGTCCCCATCGGTTATATAGGGAGTGTCGTTAAATGAATGTTTCCCGGAATCCGGATTCAAGATTCCGTATTCAGGATTCCGAATTCCGGCGGATTGGAAGCAAGAACGCACTTACAGATTCCTGTAAACCCAAATTGAGTAAAATCTTCAAATAGCTTACCAACCATCTCCACTTATCCGTATTTATGTTCCTAAAATACGCAGATCAACTGTAAAATAATCTCTATCACTTTATCAAATCTCCCATTTCATCAAATAAAATTAAATTAATACCAGACAGCATTAGGAGTACAGGGTAGATTTAGTATTTTTTTTATTTATATTCAAATATTTCATACTCAAACAGTGCGACTTATAAGGACTTGGGCCTTATCATCATTTCGACAAAGGTAAGTGATTCATACCAATATATATTCCATGAGTTCCAATGAATTCCGCCACGACCTTTGCCATCTTTGAAGTATTTTCCATTGAGCATACTGTAATTTTAAGTGATTATAGTAAGAAGATTAAATAAGAGCATAAATAAACAGATATACCTATGTGGACAGTATTTGTGCCACCATGCACCATCTCTAAAGGCACAATTGAAATCAAAGATATTGCCATTATCCCGATCAAATGTGGAAAACTTTTGGTTCTTACTGTATGTAAGGGAGTCTCCGGCTTCACCAGAATATTTCCCTAGATTCTTCAACTTGTAGTTTTCCTTCTCACTCCCAATCTTAAAGTCATCATAACGAGCGTAGCTGGTGGATCCATTAACCATCCCAAGTTTAATGTAGAGTTCGTGGGGTCGTGCCTCAGTCATCCGATGCAATTTTTCCAGCCCGATGAAGAATTCTCCACTGACATTCCCAAATCCAGATTTATAGTCATTCCAGGTTCTATTGAAGTTCACGGATCCGTCAATGCGTCTCTGAATTACAGTCCAACCACGTGGAGACGATGCACATGACACCTTAAATGGTTCCATTTCCCTGAGTTTTATTTGGTATTCCGAAAGCTGACTAGATAGTTCTGATTTTGTGTTCTCAAGCGCTTGAATTTGAGTCGTAAGGGTCGAGATTTGTTCATCTCTATTTTTAAGGTCCTCCTCTTTCACTTTTAAAATGTCTTCTTTGCTTTTGGTTTGACCTTCGGATATTTTTAGCTTATTCTGCAAGTCTTTTATAGTATCTTTCAAAGTATTTACTTGACTTTTATGTTCATCGTTGGCATCGGCTGTGATTTGTATCTGTAACATAGAACATGCGATAAACAAAATGATTGCATTCGTTTTAAATTTAAAATAACAAATTTGGATTTGTTAGATTTAATTTTCTAAAAACTGTTATAATTGTGTTTTTTATACATTAAATTTACCTATCCGATGGGATTTGTAAAATTTCTATTTGTCTGTCGTCGGAATGTCTGTCTGTATGTCTGCTATCAGTAACTCACCGTCCTAAGTCCCTCCATTCTGTCCAATCTCGCATCCAGCTTGGTCTGCAGAGCCTGAATTGAATTCGCGAAGTCTTCTTTTGTGATGAGTTCCTGCTTGAGTCTCGAATCGAATCCGGCCTTCAGCCCAGCCTCGATTTCATCCAACCTTTTTCGGATATTGCGGGAATGGTCGAAAAGCGGGTTGAGTGCGGCCAGGCAAAAGGAGCCACACTGTCTTGGTTCATCTTGGAGAACACAGAACGACTGATCCTTTGAATTGAACCCAATTCCTCCTTGTACACTTGGAAAAATTAATAAGCCTAACAAATAGGATAATTGCCTCAGCATCTTAGGATGTTCCATCTACTCTAATCGAATTTATAAAGTATACTAAAATGTAGCTATAAGTTGAAGAAGCAACGAAGCCTAAAATATTGCTGATAAGTCCCGTGAACGTTCATATTCCGGATGTATGGCACATGGCCTTCCTAATCTCTAATCCGTTGTCCAAAAATCGGAAGAAACCAGATCGCCTAATATGTTTACTTATGTATGGATTACAATATATTAGAAATGAGCTAATTTTCTTATCGCTTACTTGCGATTTATTTTTTCTTAATCATTTAGAAACCAAAAAACAGCGGGATAGGTGCATAGTTCATATGTTTAAAAACACAGTTTTGAAGGTTTTTTATTGAAACTTTGACAAAACAAGATACACAGCCAAAAAAATGAATTTTGGCTGCTGAGAACCTATACAATTAATTCCTGGTTGATTTGGTCAAATTAATTTTTTTCGCATTTTTTATAAGGGCTTACCCCATGATTTTTTTTTCGAAAATTGGTAATAAACACTCGATGGAAATTTGTATGACGAGTTCAACGAAATATGACACCTCTACTTCCGAAAAAATTTCCAAGGGATATGATAAAAAAAAACCAAAACTTGACTAGATTTTTTGGTAAAATAAAAGGCCCACTTTCAAAGTGTTTTTTGCTGTTAGTTAGTCAAAATTTAATTTTTATACCCTTTCAGAGGGTATTATAATTTCAGTCAAAAGTTTGCAACGCAGTGATGAAGACATTATATATTCTTGATCAGCATCACCAGGACAGTGGATTTAGCCATGTCCGTCTGTCCGTTTCTACGCAAACTAGTCCCTAAGTTTTAAAGCTATCTGCTTTCCCAAAAGTTGTCTATCTATTGCAGGTAGTATATAAGTCGGAACGAGCCGGATCGGGCGACTATATAAAATAGCTCCTATAGGAACAATTGGAAAAAATAATTTTAAAAAATTATAAATTTTTTTGTTTTGATTTTTTTTTTGTTCTTTGGGATTTGGTAATTTTTAAATATTATGGAGTTAAAATTTTAATTAAATTAAAATATCATATTGCTGCCATAGAAACGATGGGATAATGCAGCACAAAGTCGACACAGCTTCATTGTTTTTAATAATATAGGCATAGAAATCGAAACAGTCGTTTTGTAATAACTGCAAGGGTATATAAACTTCGGCTTGCCGAAGTTTGCCTTTTCTCTTAATTAATTTTATTAATTTAATAATTACAGAATAAGTTTAGAAAATAAAATCCGGATTTTACAAGATCACGCAAAGTTTTTCCGTAAATCTCAAAGGGTATTTCATCTTCAGCCTTTCTTGGTTCTCATGATTCTGATGTCAACTTTAAGGTTTTTGAATAATCAATAATGATCGATGGCTGTGTGATTAAATCTTCGGGTTTTTGAGTGGGTGTCTGAACTTGGGGGTTCAGTATCTGCGCCTCCATCTACCTTTTCCGTCTTGTTTTGGTCACCTTTGACCTCTGCCGCCCTGAATTCCTCTTTTTCTTTTTCTTCTGCCTTCGGGATCGCATCTTCCGGCCCCGTTTGACATTTTTATGATCGCCCTTTTCATGTTCTGGAATCTTTATTGTCTCTGGTTCTGTTTTTGGTCTCCCGTTCGCACACAATCCTTGATATTTTCATTAGTAATTAAATAAAATTTACAATAATTTCTGGTGCACCTACCGCCCTTTATTATACCCTTGCAGAGGGTATTATAATTTTGGTCAAAAGTGTGCAACGCAGTGAAGGAGACATCTCCGACCCTATAAAGTATATATATTCTTGATCAGGATCACCTCCTGAGTTGATATAGCCATGTCCGTCTGTCCGTCTGTCCGTCTGTCCGTCTGTCTGTCCGTCTGTCTGTCCGTCTGTCTGTCCGTCTGTCTGTTTCTACGCGAACTAGTCTCTCAGTTTTAAAGATATCGAATTGAAACTTTGCACACACCCTTCTTTCCTTTGCACGCAGTATATAAGTCGGAACGGCCGGGATCGGCCGACTATATCCTATAGCTGCCATATAACTGATTGATCGGAAATGCCATAACTCTGCTGTTTGTTAAGTTAGGAAGTTGGAATTTTATATGGGTTTTATATTTGGCCAATCAATCCGACCTACCAAATTTCATAAAGATCGGCCGACTATATCCTATAGCTGCCATATAACTGATTGATCGGAAATGCCATAACTTTGGTTTTTGTTAAGTTAGGAAGTTGGGATTTTCTATGGGTTCTATTTTTAACCAATCAATCCAACCTATCAAATTTCATAAGGATCGGCCGACTATATCCTATAGCTGCCATATAACTGAACGATTGGAAATGCCATAACTTTGGTGTTTTTAAAGTTAGGAAGTTGGGATTTTTTATGAGTATTAAGATTGCATCATATGAATAATTTTGGAGAATATAATTTACAGAATATTCTGCAAGGGTATATCAACTTCGGCTCCGCCCGAAGTTAGCTTTTCTTTCTTGTTTTTTCTTCACTTTTCCCTGGAATTTGGCTTTTCTCACACGCTTAACCCTCGTGTCTCCGGGGGGCTATTAAATGCCATCTTGTTGCCTCTTTCACTGTTTATTGTTGTTGTTACAACACACCTAGCGAAAGAGACAGGTAGTTGGCTCGAGAAAGAGAGGGGCGATGGCGATAGCATTTGAAATCTCATTTCTCGTTCAGTTTCCGCAGCAGTTAAAAATAATGACAATTAAAATCTGGGAATCCGGCAGCGAAAGAGGAAGCCAAGATCTGCTTAGGCATAATTTTGATGAAATATTATTTCAAAATATATTGAAAGGCCGGAGAGGAGTTTGAGTTCTGCTTGAAATACACTTGAATGGAGAAAAACTCGATACATGTGGCATCGCATAACAGAAGACTCAAAAACCAATTTGAAAAGAAAGCATTAAAAAAACAAATTAATTCACACAAGAATGTGTAATGCTAAAATACATGCCTATTTGCTTCAAAATAAATACATTTTATGGAAAATAAAGTTTAATATTTCTGTAATTTTAGTATAACGAAAAAAAATGGTATAAATTTTATTAATATAAATTAATTAAAGTCCACCATTATTTCGTTGTTTGCATATTTATTATTTTGTTTTATTTGAAAAATCAAGAACCAGAAAAAAATATGAAACAAATCACGTTTGTTATTCAATTCATTTTAATTTGAAAGTGTTAGTTAGACCTTTGTTACAATGTTCTCCCCGGCCATCCATCAAAACATAAATGTTTCTGTTTCTGTTGGCCGCATTCCACAAACTCTCCGATTCTCCATTTCTCTGGCTCTGTTCACAGTCAATTGGCAACCTTGTCCCGCTTGAGAATGGGCCCTCGAATGGATCTCGTTGGCAGCAGTAAAAGTTATAACATTTCTGCATAATTTGTAGGCCAGAGAACTGGGAGAGTGGGTTGTTCTGACGAATCGCTGCTCCGGAAACTGCAACAGCAACAGCAGCAGCAACCTTGGCCAAAAACCAAGTCAGTGGCGTGTGGGAAAAGATACTAAAGTATCTGCGTATCTGCCGGGTGTATCTTTAAGCTGTGGGATCTGTGGCCTGGCTAATTGCAGTTGCAGATTTCTGCCCATCGCCGGGGTGTCAATTAAATTCACTCGCAGTCGGGAGGTGCAACATCGTGGCAGCAGCAGCAGCAGCAACAACAGCAGCAGCAACAACAGCAACAGCAGCAACATTGCAGCTACGACAGCAACACATCTGCAGCACAGCTGCTCCTCAAAGTTCGCCTGAGGTCACACTGAGAAAAAATATAAGAAAAGAGCAAAAAAAAAATATAAGGGAGCAGTGCGACAAGTGCAATGATGGCATCCCGTCAATGCACTTTATACCATTTAGTTTTCCATTACAACATTTTCCTTGGCTCTCATTTTTCCAGTATTTTTTGCTCCGCTTTGCGATGGGAAAAAATGCAGACCAGCGACAATTTGTAATGCGATTAATGCGGCTGATTAAGTTTTGGCTTTCAAAGAATAGTAACAGCCAGCACAGTGGGCTTAAGAGGTCGCAAATAGATTACAGAACTCCCAACTCGTTAAGAAACGAATGAATTGTTAAATAAAATTAAATGCATAGCGCAGATAAATGGTTTCAACAAGTTTTTCAAATAGATGAATCGGTATAAACTGCTATAATAGTTTATTTATTTTGTTACAAATAAAGTGAATATTTCAGTTTTGCAATTGGTTTGATATTCGAGTATCTTTTACGATAAAGAAATGAACGATAAATATATATAGATCCGGTTCCAATCCGAGAAATCTCCCAATTAAAAACCGTTCTTCCTGAAAAGCCCCTCTTAAAAATAGAATTCCCGCAGAAAATGATTCGATATTGCGGTAGATAATATCGCTCGATTTCGTACGATTCCCCCCAGATATACTCGAAACACTGGAACCCGAGACAGCTGCGGCTCACACAAATCAGGGAATGAAAATAAAAACGAGACCGAAGCGGGGTAAAAAATGCAAGAAAAAAGGAGAAATAATATTGGGGGAAGTCGGGAGAGTGGAAAAAATCGAGTGCAAACGCACGAACCGCATTCGTAGCTGGATTTTCTGGAGGCCCCCGCACCCCAGAAGTTGCTGGCGGGCCGGGATGATGTTGCTGCTGGGTAGATGTTGCTGCTGTGGTGCAATGTGCTGCATTTCCGGTAGCTCAGGATCGACAGGCCTTCCTCTTCTCTCGGTGCGTGTCTTTCACTGGTGCGTGTGTCTCACTTCTCTCCGATTTCCCCCATCCCCGATTCCCCGACTCCCCGACCGCTTCTTCTCCGATTCTCCGATTCTCAAACCCTCAATCCCATTCAGAGCAGTCCGGAGACGGAGACGACGTGCCTGTTGGGCCCTGCAATTGATTTCTTTGAATTTTTTCGCTCGTTTGTTTTGCAGTTGGTCCTTACTCTTCTGGTGATATAAATTTACTACACGGCGAGAAAAAGTTTCAAGCTAAAGCAACAATCTTGACAAGCTAATAA